ATTCATACCTGAATATCAAGCCTTTTGATCATTTCCTCACGAGAGGAGAAGGCTATAGTGGTCCCTGTAAGAGAAGGGTATGGGGTTCGAGTGTATCATCTGTGGTAAGGTCAAGGGTCTTTGTTTTATCAGTTTTCAATCTTGTTAATTTGACAAAGATCTATAACTCCGATTCTTAAAAGAGCTTTTAATCCAGTATATATTTAAAGAATTTCGAGTTTGAAAATTATTCTTTGATCATAACCTTAGAAGGTAGCATTTTACTTAAAATGTTCGATTGTCAAGTGACTTACAAACTTTTTAACGAAAAGAGAAAGAAAAGAAATTCAAACAAGACAATATGCGAGTGCATCAAAAGTTCGTGGTGGCTGCAATGATTTTTTCTCAGTTTGTATCAGAATGCCCTATCATCATTCGAACGTCCATGCCCCTAAATCGATTAAGTGTTGAACCTTGCACTTCAATGCCCCATAATTCTCAGTAGTATGCCCGAGCTTCCCATGTGGTAGCTACATATTGCATTAGCATCATGCCCCTCGGGAAATGAAGGTTCTTTCGGTTTAGACTTAACTGGAGTCACGAGATTCTTCTCAACTAGTACTGGGAACAACTCTTTATATGTCATCGGAATTTTACCAATAGGGGTATTCTCTCGGGTTATTTTATAAGGTTTGGCCCCACGATTAGTTGAATAAGAACTCACTTCATTGACATCGATTCCTTTCTTAACATCGGTACTGTCAGAGCCTCATATCTTGCCATTCCTAATGGCGTTCTCGATTAATTCCCCAGAAATGACCAGGTCGGCAAAGTTCTTGGTAGCATTTCCTACCAGATACCCCAGATATGGAGCCTTCAAAGTATTCACAATGATAATTGTAGCCTCCTTCTCCAACAATGGGGGTTGTACTTGTGATGCCACATCGCGCCATCTTTGGGCGTACTGACTGAAGGTTTCGCTGTGTCGCTTTTCTTTGTTTTGGAACGTCCACTTGTTAGGAACCATATCTGTAACATGGCGATACTGTTCTAGGAATGCTTTTGCCAAGTCCTTCTATGATTTGATGTGAGCCCTAGTTAATTGGTTATACCACTTGGTGGCATAACCTGTTAGACTGTCTTGAAAATAATGACTCAGCAGCTTTTCATCATTCACATGGCCAACCATCCTCCGGCAAAACATGGTAATATGAAATCAAGGGCAAGTGGTTCCATTGTATTTTTCAAATTCAGGAACCTTGAATTTCATAGGGATGACCAAATCTAGGACTAAACTCAGCTCTCTGGTGTCAGATCCATAGAATGGGTCAATCACTTCTACCGATTTTACCCTTTCTTCCAATTTCTTCAACTGTTGAGTTATTTGTTCATTGGCATTTTCATTTTCGACTAACTCATTCAGATCCGGGGTTAAGTGCTCGATATTAAATTCCTCTAGCCTTACACCTGAAACATGCTGATAAATGTTTGGGAATGCGGATCCCATGTGGTACTGCTGATTCTTATTGCTGACATATGTATGAGGTCAGGCTTCTTGAGGTACCGAAGGGTGAGCAGAGATGTGTATAGGTGTGAAACCAGGATGAAGGGTGGATTCTAGTGTAAACCCTAGTGGGTGTTGAGGGTCAGATGTAAATCCAGCAGGATGCGATGCTCCTAATCCAAACCCTGGACGATAAAGTGGTTCCTCAGTTCTTGGAACAGGGCCCTTTCCATATTCTGGATTTTTCCCTTCCAACATACTTGCCAACTTAGAAAGCATATCCTTTTGAACGTTGATCATGTCTTCTTGCATTTTTTTTATACTCTCTTGCAAATCCAACTGAATTTTTTCAATTTGAATAATCTTATCATCCTTGGCTTTCTTCCTCGTGTTGTATGGATGTTTGGAAGGTCCCAGTATTTATCTGTCACACATTTCTTTTATTAATGTTTATATTTTATTAATGAATTGAAATATATGATTATGAATAAATAAAGTGCGATGTAAAAATAAATAAATAAAAATGCATTGCAAAAAATAATAAAATGATGCATATGCAAAATGCAGAGTGTTGATCCTAGAGCGATTCCTTAGAACATCTCTTTATATTAGAAACGATGTTCAATTCCAAAGTTGAAACATATCACAGATAAATCTGCACTGTCTCACTTATTTGTTGTACATGTGCTAGCAATTCCACAATCTTCTAGTTTTCTTCATCCTCGGGATCTAGTTCTTCACTTATAGCAGCAGCTTCCAGAGATATGTTGACCAAATATTGTACGATTCCCCGAGCATGTCCTAAGTAACAAGCAATAAGGTCCTCTCTTCACTTAACTCTCGCCTGAGCTTGCTCCCATCTTCCCTATATATCTTTTAGCTTATTTAAATCATTCTGACGTACATTGGTGTGAGTGTAGCCAAACATCTCCGACATGTACTCAGGCATCAAACTGTCTCCGTTGGTCAACTGGGATTGTTTCGACCACCTCAAAAACATCTGTATTATCTTCAACCTCTTTTTGAACCTTTCATTCCATATTACTAGCCTTCTATATGGACATCGATCCCAAATCAACACCATGAAATGGATAGTGCAATGCAAAAGAAAAAAAAGCAAAGATAGAAGAAAACCAGTTAGTAAACATTAGTCAATTAATTAGGGATAATAATTTGTTAAAGAATCATACCCTCACATGTTGGCTACCCAATCATGCTTTATCATATCCTACCCGAACATGATAACTACCCCCATTCTTTACTTGAACATAAAAACCTTAACCTCATGATATCTAATTCTTATACTTGTTTGAAAAAATAAACCTAACCACACGATCTCTAGTTCACATGAATTAAAAAGAAACGAAAATAAATGACTCAAAAAAAACTTTTCCTTGTGTACCATCCTCACGGGATTCCTAAGGTTCGAGTTAAGATTAATCTAAGTTCCGTCTCTATGTTCACTATATGCTGGGTTCGGTTCTAAAGTAATAGGTTCTCGAATTGTCCTTGTCGGTTCCCCCTTGGGCTGTCAAACCCTCAATCCTGGCCCATCATAGGCTTTTGGGATCGAGTTCAATTTCGAGGGAACACACCTTATGTCCATGCGGAGGTGAAAACCTCACGAGGATCATAAGGCGTGAGCTCCAGGAGTGATCCACTATCCCATGCGGAAGTGAAAACCTCACGAGGATCATAAGGCGTGAGCTCTAGGTGTGATCCACTATCCCATGCGGAGGTGAAAACCTCACGAGAGAGTAGTCTCTCACTCCTATTTAAATAGGATGGAGCGGGGTTTTAGCTCATGTTATGCAAATGCGACTGTGCAATGTGTGAGGACAAGCAAAAATAAAACAACACATAATCATCAATTCACACAATTAATCTGAATCCATTAGCAAACAGATCAATACAACAATTTATTGGTTAATCAGATTATAAACAAAAATTTTAAACAAGGGATCAAAAACCAAATTAGAACAAATTTATAACTTCCATTTGCAAAGACAATTAATTAATTGACTATCGGCCTAACTCTCTAAAAAAATGTCCCCAGCGGAGTCGCCAAGCTGTTGAAACAGTTTTTTTCCGGATTAAATTTTAAAAAACTGCACCAATATTTAATTATTCTCTTTATGGTTGATTTTTAATTGAAAACAATGCATTTAAAAAACCTTTCATTTCGAAAATTTGGAAATTCCTTCACGTTAAAACAAAAAGCATACAGTTTGAAGAGACGCCACCAATCTTTAATTAGGGTGTGATTGGACACCCAAAAATATTGTCATTTTAAATAAAAATTAATTTTAATTAAAACAACAAATTGAGGTATGCGTTATCAGAAAATGAGTTTGGGAGTCGATTACACGTAAGGAAGGATTATCACCCACACAGCGCCCTAAATCGGCACCTAGTCGATTAATTAATGTCTTTGCAATGAAATTTACAAATTCGATTTTAATTTGATTTATGATTCCAATAAAACAACAATATGTGAATTTTACGGTATTCAAAAGCACCAAAATAGATTAAATTAAAATTACCCTGCCTTTAGAAAGATAAAGAATATTCAATTATTTAAAAATATCGAGACCAGATCTTAGATGAAACATAACAATCTTTTCTCGACAAATTTAAATAGCCTAACATTTCTTTTTCTTCCATTCCCAATTTTTAAAATGATGAATTAATTTTAGGCGTCACTAATGGGATACACTTTTAATTTAGAATCGTTAAAAGTGGACCTCTAATGAGATAAAACAACCCACTTAAAAAATTTAAATTAAAAGGGTATTACCCTTGATCCAATTATGTCATTTGGCCAAGTCAATGACATGAGGATATCATACATTTCATATAAAAATGATGACATGCAAAAATTAATTAAACAAACATTATAATTAAAAATATCATGCAATGTGACACTTTAATACAAAAATTCCATCACTATAAATTATAAACTATATATATTAATATGTAATGTATACATACCAAATAAAAACATAACATCTCAAATTACAAATTTTAGAAAATAATTGTACTTATTAAAATAAGGACTAAATTATATTAAACCAAACTTTACTATTTTAAATACAAACAAAATAATAATTGAAATGGACATGAATATTACACCATAAATGACAATGAAACCGAAATAAAACAAATCACCATCCTAAAGGACTAAAATTAAATGCGTAAAAATGCAAAGACCAAATTGAAAACATATAAACTTTATCTGATCACTAAAAAGTAACATGTAGAAAATTAGAGATCTAGTGTCTAAATAATAGAAAATACATAAATCAACTTTTCAAATTAAAATTAAAAGTGTATAAAATTAAAATACTAAATAAAAAGCATAAAAAACTCGAATTGAGGACTAAACTGAATTATGCGGTTAAATATAAGGAGTACGAGAGAAAATTACCCTAAAATCTTAGTGGCTAAAAATTAATTAACCCAAACCATTTAATATAAAAGCTAAACTAAACCTAAACCTAAGTAAATCACGCAGAACCCAGCCTCACGCTTCACTCTTCTTCTCCAAACCTCCCCCTCTCATTCTCACGCACACACACGGCGACACTCTCAACACCGGATGGGATTCAACACCACATGTAACTTCGTTTTCTCTCCATTGCTTTCAATTTTGATTTTTTATAGTTTCGTTCCCTGGTTTTTTGATTGGAAAATTAGAATAATAAGAAAACTCTTGCTTCCTCTCTATGCTAACGGATCTCCTACAACTTCTCTTTATTGTGTTTTTTGTTGTTTTTTGATTAACTTCAGACTTATTTAATTTACTAATATTAAACTCGGTTCTTCAACTCCAACGATTGAACTCCAAAAAACTATAAGGTAAAGCTGCCGAGATTCTACCAACGTTCGCACAACTCAGGTTATTATCTAATCCATATCTATTTGCTGTCTAGTTTTTTTTTTTCATGGATTTCGAAATAATACAAGTACAAATAAATATAAAAGAAATAAAAGAAGAAATTTGAAGTAAACCTTCCTTGTATTGCTTCTTTCTAAATGGATAGGAAAGGCTGTTACAACGTATTTTTTGAATGGGGAAGGGATTATATTTTCCCTTTTTTTATCCGAAAAACCACTCCTTTTGTTACTCTGGTGAATTGCTGATCTTCAAATGACCCCAATATTGTGTTTGTGATATTTTCTAGTAATCTCCCCTGTTTGAATGGCCTTCCTCTCCTTTTTTCTAATCGAGAGCCCCCTTTTTATGACTTATTCTTTGTTGTTGAATGATCTGGCATCGAGTATGTGGGATTTTTTTTAATGGATTTAATGGATTTTCGGTGGAGCAAGTTTGATTTGGTTTAGTGGATTTGTAGTGGATGGCTAATTTAGGTGCTATTTGGTATTATTTGTAGATGAGTGGAGGTGGCAGCAGCACATGGGAGCTAGTCGAGCATGGTGTAGGGTCTGAGATTAATTATTTAAAAGAAGTGGTGCTTGGGTTGTTGCTGGTGTCCTTCACGTGGGGAAACAATGGGCAAAAGATGTGGCATTTATTTAAAGAAATGGTGTAGGGTATGGCCCCCATTTTATTAATTTATGTGATAACTCATTTTTTTGGATAAAATATTGGTGCTTACATGCCCCATCTGCAAAACCTAGGCTCCATAGTAAAATAAGAAGCAAAATAAAACAAAACAAAAGATACCTGAAACATAATCCACATAGTTTTTAGAATTTTGTTACCCGATGAAATTAGAAACATTGTAATGGAGAAAATTAAAGCCACAGTGATGGCAAGTTTGAGGCCATTGGGACAAAAAATGAAAACCATCATGCATTATACATGTAGTGTGTTTTTATGGTGAGGAGTAAAGGGGTTGACAGTTAATTTTGAAGCTTTAATTTGGAGGCATAGTTAACAGCAAGATAAACGAATGTGTTTGGTAGCTTAGGTTTTCTGGGCAGCACTAACCCGCAATGGTCATCGACAATTTTCATGGTAGCAAATGAGAAGAAAAAGATGGAAGTTCGGGGAGACATATCAAACAGAAGAAATGATAAGGCACCACCCATTGTGTGGTCGAGAAGCCCCTCCAGCGGATGACTGTACAAAGCTCCAAATGCATAATAAACGACAAGACGATGTGCAGAGTTTGTTCTCATACATGTATCTATGCAGAAAATACTATCATTTATCCACTACCACCATTACTGTAAGAAATTGTCTAACTATAACAACAAAGGAAGATGACTGTCGAACAGAAACTTTATCATCGCCCCTGTGACTTTATTGTCAACCTATATTTTCTATCATATTAGTGTTTGTTTTTCTTGAAGAAGAAGAATACAAGAAGAAGAAGGAATGTGAATGCAGGTGAAATACTTTAGTTGTCGGTTAATACTTTCGTTAATGGATTACCAGACATTAACGACTGAGGACTTAAACCTGACGGGTAAGAAAAAGAAGAAGAAGAGAATGAGGCATGTGGATGCACCTGATTTTTTTTAGTTATCACATAATAATTTCGTTAATGGGTTAATGGATATTAACGATAAAGGGACTTGTTGAGTTAATCGATCGACAAAATAGGCCAAGAGGGGGGTGAATTGGCAATAAAAATTTCAATGGAAGTTTTTGTAGAAAATTGAAAATATTTGCACAGCGATTTTGAGTGGTTCGCCTTTCTCAAAAAAAGTCTACATCCTCTACCTTAGCTATCCACACTAAAGATTTTCCTAAAATTCATTAATTTGTCTTTCTTTTGAGGAAAAAGAGTAACCTTACAAATCCCTCAACAATTATACCCCAAATTATTGAGAACACTCTCTCCGAAAGAGAACAATACAAATTTTGCAAACTTACAAGAAAATTCTCACAAGGCAAGATGTTTTCACAATTCTAGAACAAAGAAAGAACACTCAAGAATAATACAATTGAGCACAATAAGTGTTCTTGAAAGAAAAAAGAATATTGAATGAAATAGGCTTGAAAATGCTCAAACTTGAGGTTTGGTGCTTTCTATTTGATTCTCTCTTGATTCTTGTTGATGATCAATGGCTTCTAAGCTTGTTTAAATACTCCTTCAATTGATTCTGAACGTTGGGGATGATTAGTGGAGTAAATAGAACCGTTTAATTGTGAAAACAATTAATAAAACTGCTTGGAGCGTGGGGGGAATCGGTACCTCCTCATAGGGAATCGGTTCCTGCAGTGTAAAATTCAAATATTTTGACAGTTAAATAGAGGGAATCGGTACCCCCTGGGGGGGAATTGGTTCCCTCCAAGTAATCTGTTATTTTTCAGAGCCAAACTATTCAGGGGGAATCGGTACCCCGGGGGGAATCGGTTCCCCTGGGCAATCTTCCCATTTTGGTTTGATTTTAATTAAGAAATGATTTTTGACTCGATTAAGGCTCAAAATACTTTGTAAATTTGTTTAAAAGATTAAAACATATTTTTACACTTTAGTAAGGATTAAAATGAACTTTGAAAGACTTGGAGTAATTTTTGATATTCGAATAATTATATCAAATATACTTAGAAAATCTTTTGTAAAATCTTAAAATTGATTTAACTTAATTAGTTGTATCGAAACATCAAAATGTTTTCAAAAATCTCCCCCTTTTTGATATAACAAAACATTTCCCCCTTTTGAGAGAAAGAGTGATATTTGGGCGTTTATTAACAGACCCCGTGGGGGGTATCGATTCCTACTGCCAAAAAAATAAAAAAATCTGTAATTTAAACACTCAAAAATGCTAAATTAATTTGCTCTAGTGGTATTGGCAACTCATATATTGAAAATTAATTTTCACTAAGAATCATAAACTCTCCCTAACTAATAGCAAAGAATGCAATCAAAATTATTATTATTATAAGCATTTTTCATTTATTCTTAAAAGTACTAAAAAATAATTTAAACACTTAGTGAATATAGGTCAGTTAAACCTAATTCTGTCCTAAGTGTCCAAAATCTTTCTTTGTCTAAAGGTTTTGTAAAGATATCTGCTAATTGGTGCAAAGTATCAACAAATTCTAGAACTACATCTTCCTTAGCGACATGGTCTCTAATGAAGTGATGTCTAATTTCAATGTGCTTAGTTCTAGAGTGTTGGATGGGATTTTTAGTGAGACAAATAGCACTAGTATTGTCACACTTGATAGGAATGGTACCTACTTTAATTCCATATTCAAAAAGTTGTTTTTTCATCCATAAAACTTGTGCACAACAACTACCGACTGAAATGTATTCCGCTTCAGTGGTAGATAATGCAACACAATTTTGTTTCTTTGAATACCAAGAAATCAACATATTTCCAAGGAATTGGCAAGTATCGGAGGTTCTTTTCCTATCTAATTTGCATCATCCATAATCCGCATCAGAGAAGGCATGCAAGCTAAAGCTAGAGTCTCTAGGATACCAAAGTCCTAAACTAGGAGTGTCCTTAAGATATCTAAAGATTCTCTTAACAGCTAGTAAATGTGATTCCTTAGGACATGATTGAAATCTAGCACATAATCAAACACTAAACATAATGTCTGGTCTACTTGCAGTTAGATAAAGCAAAGAGTCAATCATTTACCTATACAATTTAACATCCACACATTTACCTCCTTCATCTTTGTCAAGCTTTGTTGATGAGCTCATTGGAGTGGCATGAGGATTCCCGTTTTTCAGTCCAAACTTCTTGAGCATATCTTTGACGTACTTAGCTTGATTGATGAAGATGCAATCTTTTGTTTGCTTGATTTGGAGTCCCAAGAAATATGAGAGCTCCCACATCATGCTCATCTCGAATTCACTTTGCATTAGCTTAGAAAATTCTTGGCAAATAACATCATTAGTAGAACCGAATATTATATCATCAACATAAATTTGAACTACTAATAAATCTTTATCTTTATGCTTTAAAAACAATGTAGTGTCAACCTTCCATTTTGAAAAACCTTTTTCAATTAAAAAGTTTGACAATCTTTCATACCAAGCTCTAGGAGCTTATTTTAAACCATAAAGAGTTTTTGTCAATTGAAAAACTTGATCTGGAAATTTTGAATCTTCAAAACCAGGAGGTTGTTCCACATACACTTCTTATATAAAACTATTTAAAAATGCACTTTTAACATCCATTTGATACAGTTTAAATTCATTGAAACATGTAAATGCTAATAACATTCTAATTGCTTCCATCCTAGCTATGGGAGGATATGTTTCATCATAGTCTATGCCTTCTTCTTGAGTATAGACTTGAGCAACAAGTCTAGCCTTGTTTCTCACTATATTACCACTTTAATCAAGCTTATTCCTAAATACCCATCTAGTACCTACAATAGACTTATTATTAGGCCTTTAAACTAATGTCCATACTTTACTTCTCTCAAATTGATTTAACTCTTCTTGCATAGCCATAATCCAATGTTCATCATTTAATGCTTCTTTAATATTCTTAGGCTCTATGCATGAAATAAATGCAACATAATTACATATATTTCTAAGAGAAGATCGAGTTGTTACCCCTTTGGATGGATCACTTATTATTTCACCATCCTTGACATAGTTGTATTCCCTTGGATAAGAGACTTCCCTTTCTCCAATGGTTGGATTCTCGAGAGGATCTTGAGTTTCCTCATCTTTTGTTTCTTTCTTTGATGATGGTTCTCCAACGTCATTGATGTTTATAATACATAAATCATCTTTCACACAAGAATCATTCCTTGGAAGGAGATTATCATCGAAAACAACATGTATAGACTCTTCTACAACTAAAGTTCTTTTATTAAATACTCGATAAGCTTTAGAATTTAAGGAATAACCCAGAAAAATTCCTTCATCACTTTTAGCATCAAATTTGCCAAGATTGTCTTTACCGTTGTTTAAAACAAAACAAAAAATAGCTGAAACATAATCCACATAGTTTTTAAAATTTTGTTACCCGATGAAATTAGAAACATTGTAATGGAGAAAATTAAAGCCATAGTGATGGCGAGTTTGAGGCCATTGGGACAAAAAATGAAAACCATCATGCATTATACATGTAGTGTGTTTATGTGGGGAGGAGCGAAGGTGTTGACAGTTAATTTTGAAGTTTTAATTTGGAGGCATAGTTAACAGCAAGATAAACGAATGTGTTTGGTAGCTTAGGTTTTCGGGGCAGTACTAACCCGCAATGGCCATCGACAATTTTCATGGTAGCAAATGAGAAGAAAAAGATGGAAGTTCGAGGAGACATATCAAACAAAAGAATTGATAAGGTACCACCCATTGTGTGGTCGAGAAGCCCCTCCACCGGATGACTGCACAAAGCTCCAAATGCATAATGAACGACAAGACCATGTGTAGAGTTTGTTCTCGTACATGTATCTATGCAGAAAATACTATCATGTATCCACTACCACCATTACTGTAAGAAATTGTATAACTATAACAACAAAGGAAGATGACTATTGAGTAGAAGCTTTATCATCGTCACTGCAACTTTATTGTCAACCTATATTTTCTATCATATTAGTGTTTGTTTTTCTTGAAGAAGAAGAAGACAAGAAGGAGAAGGCATGTGGATGCAGGTGAAATTATTTTAGTTGTCAATTAATACTTCCGTTAATGGATTACCAGACATTAACAACTGAGGACTTAAACCTGACGGGTAAGAAAAAGAATAAGAGAATGAGGTATGTGGATGCACGTGTTTTTTTAGTAGTCACGTAATAATTTCGTTAATGGGTTAATGGATATTAACGATAAAGGGACTTGTTGAGTTAATCGATCGACAAAATAGGCCAAGAGGGGGTGAATTGGCAATAAAAATATCGGTGGAAGCTTTTGCAGAAAATTGAAAATATTTGCACAACGATTTAGAGTGGTTTGACTCTCTCAACCAAAGTCTACGTCCACTACCTTAGCTATCCACACTAAGAATTTTCCACAAATTCACTAATTTGTCTTTCTTTTGAGGACAAAGAGTAACCTTACAAATCCCTCAAGAATTATACCCCAAATTCTTGAGAACACTCTCTCCGAAAGAGAACAATACAAATTTTGCAAACTTACAAGAAAATCCTCACAAGGAAAGATGTTTGCCCAATTCTAGAACAAAGAAAGAACACTCAAGAATAATATAATTGAGCTCAATATGTGTTCTTGAAGGCAAAAATGAATATTGAATGAAATAGGCTTGAAATGCTCAAACTTGAGGTTTGGTGCTTTCTCTTTGATTCTCTCTTGATTCTTGTTGTTGATCATTGGGTTCTAAGATTGTTTAAATACTGCTTCAA